TTCCTGTAGGCCCCCTTTAGGTACTGGAAGGCTGCAGTAAGATCACCCCGGAGCCTTCTCTTCTCCAGGCTGAACAGTCCCAACTCTCTCAGCCTGTCTCCATAGCAGAGATGCTCCAGCCCTCCCATCATCTTCGTGGCCTCCTCTGGACCTACTCCAACAGCTCCATGTCCTTCTTGTGCTGGGGACTCCAGAGCTGAATGCAGTATTCCAGGTGGGGTCTCACGAGCGCAGAGTAGAGGGGCAGAATCACCTCCCTCGACCAGACTGGATGGATACCAGACTGCAGCCCGGATTCCTCAGTCTTCTAAGTTATCCCACTACTTCACCAGACACGGTTTTCCTTTCAGGATCCAAGATACTGAACTTTGTTTGTTCCCATCAACTCTGACACGGGCCAAGGACACACCAACGTTCCCAGAAATACGCAAAGGCAGACCGGACAATTTCACGGACATCAGCTACAGGTTACTGAATAAACAGAAACCACATCCAGCTCTGAAAATCCTGGAGATTAAAGGGGATGCTGGCTAGAAGAGCAGTTAAGGGAGCGATGCAAATGTTTGCCCTGTCACTCTTTCGCAGGCATTGACTTAAGGGCCCATGGAAAGCACAAACGCCACCCACTTAATACCAGAAGCTGCATTTCCCACATTTCCCCAAATTTGGGAAAAAGTCCATACATCCAAAGTGCACAGAATGAGTCTCACGTGTGAAAAACCACCTTCCTGATTACAGTGTCTCCATTGGGAGGCAGGATTCTGACTCAGGTCCTGTCAGCACACCTGCTCTCACGTTCACTGAGACAAAGAAAAGCAACGGGTGGGGTGACATTTCCTTTCCGTACCTTTAGTTTCCTCCTCATCTTCAGAGGGTTCATTCCCATCCTTCTCCTCCTCACTCAAGTCCTCAGACTCGTCTGAATCAAAGTTGAGATAATCAGCTGCTGGCTTGGATTTTCCCGCCTTGGGCTCCTCTGCCAAAGTGTCATTAGCCCAAGTGGCCACTTGAGACCGTTTCTGGTGAACCATTAAGAACTCCTGGAATGTCTTATCTTCTTCCAGCTGTTGAAAAAGAAACCAAGCAGACAAGCTGTGAAGACAGACACACTAGGAGAGCTAGTATAAAGTTTTAACTCAAAGACACCATCTCATGTCCAGCAATGCAAAAAAAAAATCCCCAAGAGGAGAGCCCACTTTACACTCACAAGGTGAGCACTTAACAGTGACTAATCTTCTCAAGATCTCTCAAGTCCTACTCTCTCTTTTTTGTAATTGCTGTTTAGAAACCATTTTAAATAAGAAAACAAAACATCAAAAAGAGAAAAAAAGTACAAGTTAAACGTGACAAAACTCACTCATAGTTAAAAAAACAGAATTGCTGAAACAGCGTTGGATGCTCTGGATGCAGTGCTCACACAGCAGCACCTAACAATTGAAAAATTGGTCCCAAATGTTACAATTGTGGTTTGTTGCAGTAAAACTGGACTGTCACGGAGCTGGTTAAATCATATACCTTGCCTGAATTAACAGCACTGGAAGCAGTACAGAAAAGTTATTAATCTCTTGCTCTTCATACAAGCAAGAACGCAGGGATTGCAACCCAACCTCAACTCACCTCCTTTAAGCTTTCCGTTGGATCTTTCTTCTTTTTATCCTAGGAAAAGAAACCATTTTTAGAAAGGCTTATTAGAAGCACAGCCAAGATCATTTCTCAGGTAATCTAACAGTACAGGGAACACAGATCCTAAGGCAGAAAATACCAGAACCAGGACTTCAACATCCACTGTCCCAGCGGCTCTGTCCCCTTCTCCACAAGCCAAGCTACCTCCCTCTCTGCCAAGTCACCAGCATCCATAAGAGCCTCGAGGGAAAAAACAAGACTCACTTTCTTCGTGCCTGCAGGAGCTGCACTTGACACTGGTCTCTCGGTCTGTTTCTCCAACTGTTTCTCTGAGGCAGAGGCGTTCCGAGAGTGCTTACTCCATGCTTTGGGTTTTGATGGGTCACCAAAAGACTTGCATAACTCAACCTGAAAACAATCAGATCTTTAATTAAACATACATTCAGCACTCTGGTTCTGTAACTCCGGGAAAAGCCTCACCCAGGAACCATTCTTCTAACACCAACAGGACGGAGGGGTGTGCGCAGGAGAACAGGCAACCTCCTACAGATATTCGTTTGAAAAGCACAGGGCTCCACGTTCACACAGCACTGGGAACACTCTGTCGTGCTCATTTAAGCACAGCCAAGGAAGTTGTCTTGTTTATCACGAATCATCCTCTGCCCAGAACAGCAAGGTGAAAGACTTCAAATGAAAAACGACCTCAGGTTCGAGAGTTCAGATTATAACAGCTCAAAACTTGACACTGTTGTTCCAACCAGGCCTCGAATCGCTGCTGGTGCAGGAACACAGCCCATCTGAACCGATCTCAACCTGCCTGAGACTCCAGCAATGGGCCTGGCATCAGGCTTTGCTGCTCTGCTGCAGAGAGCTTAACCTCTACGCTGTCTCAGTCCCTGGCTGTTCACTCCTAAGACTACCAAAACCTCCAGTTACAAACTTTCCTAAGAATCAAAAGAAGATAATTTTGAAGATCAACTCACTGTGACTCTGGAGGTGTCTATGAAACTTCTGTTGAAATGGTTCAGTGCTGTTTGGGCTTCGTCTTCAGACTTGTAGCCAATGAAGCCAAATTTCCGGAACTTGCCATCCTTGGTGAACTTCAAACAGCAATCGGTCAGCGTGCCAAAAGCGGCGAACAGCTTCCGAAAGCGATCTTCCTTCATCTGGGAAACGGGGAAGGACAATTAGGAGGTAAATCAGAAACACAAGGAGAGATGCTTTGTGCCAAAAGCAAAATATTTGCTGCCAGAGGGCTTCCGAAGCGCTGTAGGAACCACACCGTATTCTGGCAACACTGATAAAAACCCCACACACATCACCCACCAATCTGCTTTATCTCCTCCATGAGCCCACTGTACGTACAGATCTGTCTGCCACGCACCCACAGCCAAAGGGTGCACCCAGCTCTCGGGGACCCCAGGGCCCCACAGCGCTCACCTGCCCCAATCACAGAATGGTTTGGGTTGGAAGGGACCTCAAAGATCATCTAGTTCCAACATCCCTGCCA